AATCCCAGCACTCTGGAGGCAGAGGCAGGTGGATCTCTGTGAGTTCAAGCCCAGCCTAGTCTACATAGTGAGTTCCAGGTCTGCTGGGGTTACAGGGAGACCCTGTCTCAAAAAGACCAAAAACAAAAACAAAAACAAAAAAATTCAACATAAATGTGAACAACTTTACTCACCTTAACACAAAGTACCAGTTTTCTTTCTAAGGCTATAAATTAAGGCCTACTTAACAGTAGTGATAATTTTCCTTTTTTTTTTTTACCCATTGTACTGTGCAGATCTGTGCTAGTCAACACAAACATGATAGCCATTTAGCGTTTAAAGTCGAATTTAATGAAAATAAAATAAAAACTCTACTTCCTACAGAAAGATAGATACATTCAAGTGCTATATATAGCCAGCCATGGTTACCACACTGGATAGCACAGATCTAGAGTGTGTCCTGTGCCTCCCCCTCAGAAGCAGTGTTGATAATTGAACACAGGCCACTGGGCATACTGGGCATCCTAGTGTTCTACCAGTCACACGCCCTTCTCTAGATCAGAATAATTCTATCACCATGAAGTGTAATACTGGTTTAAACACTATTGGGAGTATATAGTTCAATCTCAGAAGTGTTGGTCAAATGATTTCCTGTTCAAATTTATTCAACTATATGCTATATAGAGATATTTTATCTACTATTGAGAAAGCCAGATATTTCTGGGAAATGATTTTGGTTGTAAATTTGTAAGGGCCTTATTAGTATGGTCTGACAGGCCCAAGCAAGAAAAGCCTGCCATAAATCCTGCATGTATAGAGTAAACATTTGGCTTTCCTCCTCAGGAGGTGAAAGTTCCCAAGCTCAGGACCTAGAGCCTTCCCACAGTGGATAAAGGTCACTGGACCTAGGACCTTGGAATTCCCCTTTGAAAATTCCCAAGGTCACTTTGAGGACCTGCACGGGCCTCTTCCCCAGATTTTCCTGTCAATGTAGGCCCCAACAAATGGTCTATTCATGCCTGAGCTGTGGTGGCTGTTGGGAGACAGAGAGGGTTGAGTGGGCCTAGGTGTTGACACAGGTGCCATGCCCCTTGCGCTGTTGAGTGGACCTGGCACGGGAAGCAAAGGGGGCCGGCGAAGTGCATGCCAGGGGCTGTGATCTGTTTCCCGGTGCCATTCCAAAGCATGTGGGAATTCTGTATACAAAGCTGGTCTACCATGTTGCTAGGGAGATGTTTTTCTCAAGGTAGAAGAAAACTCATTTTGTTGGCCTGATATAGTCCCTGTAAAATTTAAAAGTTGGGTAGGTGAGGCCAGGTCTCCCAATGTTAGTGTGGGGTCTACAATCTTGGATATGGAAAATAAATTCATGGGGGGACTTTTAGGCCACTTTACTCTTTGTTGCTCAACTGCTTAACACCTGAGTGTCTGTGGACTCAGAAGTTTTTGCGCAAAGGCTGCCATTCCACTGCGGCCCGCACGATTCCTCCGGCAGGCCAGAGCGATGCCGCTCCATCGCAGACATCTCTGGAGTTGACTTTATTGGAGAGGAACCTGTTTGCAGAACTGGCGTACAATGGGGCCAAGGAAATTTTCCTGCTTTGGGTGGGAGGGGATCTCTAGGATGCTCGGTGTCAGGCGGTGACTCCCCAAGTTCCAGGGAGGCAACGCACCCCTGGGGGACGCCCAGGGCGGCTTTGTCTGCCAGGCGCCCATCGAACGAAACGTGGGGCAGAGCGGCCGAGCGGCCGGAGTTTGGACCAGACTAGAACTTTCTTCCGCCCTCTGGGCGAGTTGCGGTGCTCTCTGCGCCCGGGCCGGGCGGCGGGGTCGGGGTCGGGGTCGGGGTCGGTTCCCGGGGCGCGCGCCTGGGCGGAGGCGCGGGAGGAGGAGCGGGCGGGGAGGAGCCGGGGAGGCCGGGCGGGAGGA